ATGTGAAAACTCTGCAACTCGGCGAACAGCGACAGCTGTTCTTCGGCGCCTCTATGTTGACTATCCCCAACCTCATGAATGGAATTGGCGTCTGATAATCTCCGACACCGTGCAAATCCCCTCTTCTTGACGGTCGAGAGTTTGTGAAAAGCTCCCACAAATTTTGGGTGCTGAAACCTCTGATCGACTCTACCGTAGCGATGGTGTTTCTGGTCTCTGACCATTATGGCCGGTTTCACCAGGGAAAATTCATTTGGCCAACAGCGACAGATGTTCTTCGGCGCTTCTGTTTGGACGAGCTCCAACCTCATGAAATAAATGGGCGACTGATATTATCCGATATCGTGCAGCCCCACCCTTCTTGACGGTCAAAAGTTTGTTACCACCAGTTTTTTTCTCCTGAACCCTCCAAACCATAAAAACCATAAACTATATTTTTCTTCCTTTCCCGCAGTAGTTTTTTTCACTGCTGGCGGATTTGTGTCCCAAGAAGTTTTACGGGTACATCCGCAGTAGGAGTAAACATAGGGACGCAATTGCGTGTCTAAAGGATAGCCTCGGAAACTTAGTAGTTGAAAGGCCACAGAAAGTGCGATTACTGTCTCAGTTTTTTCAATCGGTTTTTGCGGAGGAGTCCCTAGAAGACAATCAGCAGTTTGAAATGAACCGAGTCAGCCGGGAGCTTCAAATGCGCCAAGATATTGCCGTCATTGAAACCGTCGCCTTTTCCGTCGAAGAAGTCAGACGCGTCCTCAGGCAAATAAAACCTGATAAGTCTCCTGGACCCGACGGAATTCCCGGGCTGATACTTAAGGAGCTATCAATGGAGCTGTCAAAGCCTCTTTTGACTCTCTTTGAGCTGTCAATGAGAACAGGAAGGCTGCCCTCACAACGGAAGACAGCTAACCTCGTTCCATTGCATGAGGGAGGTAGCAGGATGACAGCAAGCAGCTTTAGGCCTATTAGCTTAACTTGCTTCCCTTGCAAAGCGATGGAAGCTATAGTAAAGAGCGCTATACAGCAATTTTGTGAAGAAAATAACATCTTGCAGGATTTTCAACATGGCTTCCGGAGAGGGCGTTCCTGCCTTTCAAATCTGCTAGCTTGTCTGGAGATCTGAACCAGGGCTTTAGATGAGGGTCTTGAGGTCATTGTCGTATACATCAATTTCCGCAAATCTTTTGACACTGTCCCGGCACCAACGTCTTCTTCACAAATTGAGCGACATCGGCATCCGGGGAGATCTTCTGAACTGGATTAGGGCGTTTCTGGTTGGTCGGAAACAACGTGTCTGTGTCGGGAATGATATGTCAGAATGGGTGACCGTGACCAGTGGTGTACCGCAAGGCTCAGTTCTGGGACCACTGTTCTTCATCCTTTACGTTTACGACAGCCTTCAGGAACTCGACTGCGGCAAAATAATGTTTGCAGACGACGTTAAGCTCTGGCAAGTCATTAAGGGTCTGAATGATCAGAGATCCCTTCAAGATAATCTGCACCGACTGCAAGCGTGGTCAAAAAAATGGCTTCTAGATTTCAATGTGGAGAAGTGTGCCATCCTTCATCTGCGTCCAACCAACTCTCATTCAAATGAGAGCCTGAGGACATATCACCTGAAAGATATAAGGCTCCGCGCAGAATCTTCAGAGAAGGATCTCGGGGTTTGGATACAGAACAACCTAAAACCAACACTGCAGTGCCACAAGGCTGCAAAAAAACGCCATGGGAGTGTTGCATGCAATAAAAAGGGCTTTCGTTAACTTTGACCAAGACCTGTTTGGAAGAGTTTACGGCACATTTGTTCGGCCCCACTTAGAATATGGCATACAAGCATAGCGGCCGTGGCTAGTAAAGGACCAAGCATGCCTCGAACGAGTACGACGGCATGCAACAAAGCTGGTAAACGGTCTAAAAAGCCAATCCTACACAGAAAGACTGAATTTCTTTAATTTATGCCCTCTGTGTTACAGGCAGCAAAGAGGTGATCTTATCATCGTCTACAAGATAATACATGGCCTTGAGTATGGACTTAAATTTGAGGACATGTTTCAGTGGCACCTTTCACCCAATCTTCGTGGTCACTCGATGAAGTTACGGACAACAATGTCCAGGCTGAATCTTCGTTCTGAATTTTTCACGCAGAGGGTAGTGGAGAAATGGAACGATCTCTCTCAGTCAGTCGTGGAGGCTACGTCCCTGCAACTCTTCAAGAAACGCTTGGATGATTATTTGTGTCCCCTGTTTCCCCTCGACAGTCTGAATCTGAATTAATACCCCTGGTCCAGAAAAATATTTTCGCTGAGACAATGCTACTCAAATGAACCAAGTACTGTTTTAATAGTGAACATTTTTTGCTCGTGTACAGTTATTTCTAACGAGCTGACGTGTAATCAATAGGGTTTTCAAAGGCTTTGCCTATTATCCTTACCAAATAAACTGAAACTGAAACGCTTCCCTGACAATGCCTGTAAACTGGCATTAAATATTATTATTATTGTTATTATTATTATTATTATTATTATTATTATTATTATTATTACTGACGAGCAATAAAAGCCGAGCTGGAAAATGATGAACAACAACAAGCTTTCAGAATTAATTGGACGAGAAATAGACATATTTATGCCGGCAATAAACCCCCAACAGAACACCGAGTCTTTAAGAATTTATGTCTTTTTTTAAACAAACCTCCAGAAAGGAACAGCAACAGAACAGATTAGTCACTTTCAGTAGCCTTGACCATTTAAGTTTTCCGGGTGACAACCTCAGAAACGACCAAGCGATGGATGTTTTGCAGTGTTGCCTTGTGGGGTTTCGAACTTCCAGAGAAGTTATCCGTAGATTGGTCTGTTCCATAAATAGTTGGATTTCTAAGGTACTGACTGCAGAGTTCCATCCTAATGTAGCAAAAATAATTCATTTGGCATCCTATACTTTCATATACAACCCCTGATGACACCAGCCCCACCAAGCCCCCTCTGGTCTTCCGGGGCTGATTTGGGCTGTGAGGGAGTTACCCGTGGCTGTGAGCGGGGCTGCGGATGGGCGTACAACTCATCAGACCCCTCTAGTTCAATCATTGCAAAAAATTTGCTTAGAGGAACGCCTCCTCGTCTTCGGTTTTGACACCCGTTGACATTTTGGGTTTTCGCATGCACAGAGCATTCCTGCGAGACGTTATTGCATCAAGCTTAAATGCAACACATCGAAACCCACAAAAGTCGAACACAAACGTGCCCTATAGACACATATTTGATCTCAACTTTCTCAAGTCCTAGACGGATAGCCATATTAGATGGTCCCAATGTCTTCAATTTTGCACAGCAAAAACAAAAAGCTTACCAGCTTCCTGTTCTTGTTATTTCTTCCTCTAAAAGGTTGTCATGAACGTTTTGCTAGAAATCTGAACAAGCCTGCGCCCTAATTTTCGGCTTTATATGTGTGATTTATTCAATATGCTCACCGACGCCTCTATTCTCACAGACTTGCGTTTGAAGGTTGAAGTTGAGAAGATAACATAAAAAATCGACTTCCATGCAATACAGAAAGAGACTCTTTTCTCGCAGGACTAATACGGACAAAAGCTTCAGAGGTCGGTCTAAAATCAAGTCAAAAACCAGTAGATGGCAACCACCATTAAAATCTCCATCGCAGACCACGTAAGGAACCACGCAAATTCATCATTGCCACCCGATCAGTATCAGTATCAGTATATTTCAGGGAAAGTAGGTGTGTACCTTTGAAATCCCTATTGGTCACATACAGAGGATATATAGGGAGGAAGTGGAAATTAAGTAACATGAAAGAAATGCGAGGGGAATAGCAAAAACTGTACAGATGAACACAGAATGTCATGCGTTAACAGAGTTTAGAGGCACATTAACTTGCTTTGTTGATCAAATACAGCGGACAGTTGAGGCACACTTAAGATACGGGAAAAGAAGTAAAATTGTTTAGTCTACAGGCATCGTGGTGAATGCGAACAGCGGTGCGCGACGTGGCCCATGCTTAATAAATTACATAAACATATATTACTTAAATGTTGGTAGTAGCATCGTTATAACACTCAATTGTCCGCGTTGGCTGTCAAGGTGGCCGTAGTCCGGCGTTATTGTAGTGCGCGCTACAATGCTTATCTAGTCTCCATTTTAAAGTATCTACCGAGCCCGACATAACAACATCCTCAGGCAAGGCATTCCAAGCTGCAAACACTCTGTTGGAGAAGAAGAACTTTCGGGTGTCTAGCCGGGCACCAGCCACACGCAGTTTGAGTGGATGGCCTCTCAGGTTTGTCGTAGTCGCCAACTCGAAGAAGTCTCCAAACGCGAGGCAGCAGCCCTGATTGCGCACGATGCGGAAAGCTTGTATCAGGTCCCCACGCAGCTGTCTGTAACTCAAAGGAAAGATGGCAAGATTAGTTAATCGTGTTTCGTAGGGTAGTGACCACTGCCCAGATACAAGTTTCGTTGCTCGCCGTTGAACTTTTTCGAGTATGCCCAAGTTTTTAGCGGTCCAGGGTCGCCATGCTTGGATAGCAAACTCCAGATGCGGTCGCACAAAAGTTTGAAAGACCTTGGCGAAGCAGTCTTCATTAAAGGAGGAGAACGCCCGTTTGACAAGGTATAGCATGGACATCGCCGACTTGGCCACCTGTGAACATTACAGCGAAGGCTTAAGCGAGGTTGCGATCCATACACCCAAGTCCTTCTGGGCGTCGACTTCTTGCAGTGGTTTGCCAGTCAGAGGGTAGACCGTGTGGTTAGGAGAACTGGTTCTGCCGACGCGAAGGAAAGTACACTTGTTTACGTTGAACGGTAGAAGCCAGTCTTTCGACCATTGCTCGAGGTGGTCCAGCTTTGTCTCGGTCGCGCCTCGTCAACTTCTCTTCGTATGGTACTCCAGATCTTTATGTCATCGGCAAACATTGCGACATCGCAATTCAGTTCGTTTGCGCAGTCATTGACGTATACGAGGAACAGTGCAGGGCCAAGAACAGAGCCTTAGGGAACACCACTCTTAACGGCAACCTCGGCAGATTGTTGGTCACCGACGTGGACGGCTTGAGAGCGGCCGATTAAAAAGCTCCGAATCCACATCAGAAGCTTACCTCGCACTCCTGCACGGCTAAGTTTGTATAGAAGGCGGTGGTGAGGCACACTATCGAAGGCCTTTTTAAAGTCGATATAGATGGCATGCACCATATCTCCTCTATCAACAGCCCTAGTCCAGTGTTCCAGATAGTAGAGCAGGTTTGTCACACATGATCTGCTTTCTCGGAATCCATGCTGAGAATCGGAAAGCAAATGGTTTTGTTCAAGGAACTGCATTAGTTGTTGCTTTATTATCTTCTCCATAATCTTACAGCAAATGGAGATGAGGCTGACCGGTCTGTAATTGTTTGCAGAGACCCGACTTCTGCCCTTGTACAGCGGCGTAATCCACGCCGACTTCCAGTCGGGTGACAGATATCCGGTATCGAAGGATGTATGGAGAAGCATGGAGAGTGGCATAGACAACTCACCGGCGAGTTCCTTCAAAATCTTCGCTGGAATCTCATCGGGACCTGATAATTTGGATTGTTTTAGCCTCAGCAAGTCCGTCAGAACCATACCCTCGGTGAACTGGACGGCCTCTATAATTGGAGTGTCTTCGAAGGATTGAGGGGCCGAAGGGTTGAATCCTGTTTTGCTAATAAAAACAGACCAAAAAAATTCAGAAAGGTCATCAGCCTTCGCCCTGTCGTCAGTGAGATGTTCGCCTTCAGCAGTCCTTAGCAGGGGTATTGGGTCCTTGTTCCGCGTGCACTGCCTCATGTAACCGCAGAATCATTTAGGGTTCTCCGCGGCACGGTTAAGCAGATCCCGTTCGAATTCCTTTCTAGTTTTGAGGATAAGACCCTTGACTCGATTTCTTTGAATTTTGTACGCGCATATAAATATGGGGCTCCTGTCAGAAAGCGATTTTTTCCACAGCCGTCGTTTTTTATTCACTTCATTCTTCAAGGCTTGCGTAAGCCATCGAGGTCTGTTAGTTAACCTCTTCCGTGAAAGCGGACAGTGGTTTACGATCAGCTCGTGCAGAATTTCTCGGAACCGTTGCCAGTCTTCGAGTATTCTCCAAACAAATATGGACTCCCACTCAATGCGTGAAATGTCAGCCCTCATTTGGTCGAAATCCCCGCGCCAAAGGTTTCTTCTAACTGTCATGGGTCTCTTGGGCATGGAAAAAAGCGAGTAATCCCATATAAGAACGACGTGGTCACTTTTACCTAAGGGGGGTATGCATGACACCTGATCAATGCTGTCATGTGACTTCGTAAGGACAAGATCAAGGCAGTTGGCTTGTTGGCCTTCGCGTACTCTCGTTGGTAACATGACGTGTTGAGTGAGAAATAGCGTCAGTGCCGTGTTCAGAAAACTCCTATCGGAGGTCTGTTCTGAGCTATTTACATGGGTTGAGCTCCAGTCGCGTAGCGAACTTTTCGAGCTCCTCCAGCAGGCGAGCGTCGGCCATGTTGTCCCGTCTCGGCGGTCGATAAACTGTCAGGACATCGGGGCTAGGTGAGCTCGGCACTTTAATAGACAACCAGATTGCCTCGGAATTGCACGAAAAGTTATCGGTCTTGTCTGATACATTTAGCCCATTTTTTACATACGTGAGTACGCCTCTTCCCTGACGCCCTTGCCTATCCCTTCTAAACATTTGGTAGCCAGGCAAGGCCTGCTCACGGTCGTCCACGTGTTGGGTCAACCAGGTTTCTGTTAAAGAGATTACGTCAGGGGATAGGTCGCAGAGGTTGATCTTCAGCTCGTCGAACTTTGATAGCAAACTCTGCCCGTTGGTGTACAAAAATTTCAAGTTCCGGCTGACGGAAGATGTGGTTACATTTTGGTTAGCGATTTCACTTAATATGTCAACTGCGCGGTCATTCGGACAGGACCTGTCCAAAGGAAGAGTGACGGACGCCGCCGTACTTGGATGTTGTATATTACTAAATTGTTCTCATCTTGCTGAGCCTCTTTCTTAGTTCTAAAACTAGCTGACGACGTTTGAGCCGTTCGACTGGCGAGTAGTCCGGTTGAAAAAAAAAACACGTGGGTTGGAGCCTTTAATCCTGAATCGCCTGGAGTAAATGAGACTGGCTTGGTCGGTGCTGGCCAGCACAATTTTAAGAGGCCGGGGACGAATGGACATTGATGGATTACCTGCTCGTTTTCCAGGACGGAAGGCTTTGATCACTTCAAAAGCCTCCATGGGTTCCAAAATATTATCGAGAAGACCTTGGAAGAGTGACAGGTCTTCCGAAATTCGCTCCTTGGGAGTAATTGCACTTTATTCAGGGAGCCCCTGAATAATAAGACATTGTTCTCTGTCGGTCTCTTTTTATTTTCTACGGAAGTGTGTTCTCCTAAATGACGTAACGTTCTGCACATTCTAGATTCCGTGATCGATCGCTTTTTATGTTGACAGAAATTCCCAAATGTTGTTTTAATGTGGATAAGGTTCATTTAAAGTGGATTCTAATACTGATTGTCACGTAGCATGATTTCGTGATATTGCACGGATGACATAATGTTGACTCTTGGTTTGTCTTCTTGTTGACCGATTGCAAGAACCGTGCTCGGTAAAAAGGACTAATTTGTATGGTCGTCTTTTGATCAATCAATGACTTCCTTATCTATTCAAATATATAAATTATGAAAAACATGTACAAACATATACTCTCCTGTACTTATTGAACCGCCAATCATCTCTCCCACACATTGTATATTTGCGGACGGAATATTTTTCCGTTTTGATTAAGATTCTAAGTATGAGATTTTTGTAGACCGTGCAGCGTCCACGCAAATAGCCTCCCATCTGTTGCTTAGTTAATTCTTCACATTTTGTAGGTCCCGTGGACGATCCTTCTGATGGCGCCAAAACATGGGATATTTTCTTACAGGGAATGTGTACTGCTTGTAAACTGAAAACAATAAACACACATGTAAGAGCCGATACACCCCCAAATTATTCGTGAATAGGCCAATCTTTTTCAAACCTAAACATTCACGTGCTGTTATTACTGCGTTTCAAGAGGAGGAGAGAAATTTTGCCAATTAGACGCAAGAAAGAATGTGTCCGTGAATGTTTTCTAGAAAGCATATTTCACAGTAAAGTTGCATTATATTTACGAAAGCATTATTTTACTGAATGCGGTCTTAAAATGCAACCCAAAAAGTATAATGATTGACCGATCTCATGAAACGTTGGCTGAAATTCTGAAATGCGTTTTCGATTAGGAAGGATTGCTTAGGCTTGGTTGTAATTCTAATTAACATGCGCCATAATTCTATAATATATCGGACTCGGTCGGATGTCAGCTTTTGAAAACACTGTTTTTTAATCTCCTGCAGAATTTAAATAGCATGCAGTATTTAAATAGCATGCATTTTTTCCATTGATTTTCAATGGTCTTGCAAATTCACGTATATCTAATAGAAACCATAAACAAAAATATACTTTCATTTAGTCAATTACTAGAGAACCGCGTCTTCCTTATATTTCATACCTAAGGACGGATTATAATAAGGTGTAAAGAAATTTTTAAATTGCCGAATAATTTTGAGCTTGATCATCTTTGCATTAGCACTTTGTGATTTCAGTCTAAAAGGTGCATGCGTTCTGCGTAAAGAAAATTACATATTTTTCTATGCGATTAAAAATATAACATACTGAGTCCCAAGCTTAATAAACATAAACATATATTACTTAAATTTTGGTAGTAGCATCGTTATAACACTAAATTGACAGTGTTGGCTGTCAAGGTGGCTGTAGTCCGGCGTTATTGTGGTGCGCGCTACAATGCTGATCTAGTCTCCATTTAAATGTATCTACTGAGCCCGACATAACAACATCCTCAGGCAAGGCATTCCTAGCTGCAACCACTCTGTTGGAGGAGAAGAACTTTCGGGTGTCTAGCCGGGCACCAGCCACACGCAGTTTGAGTGGATGGCCTCTCAGGTTAGTCGTAGTCGCCAACTCGAAGAAGTCTCCAAACGCGAGGCAGCAGTCCTGATTGCGCATGATGCGGAAAGCTTGTATCAGGTCCCCACGTAGCTGTCTGTAACTCAAAGGAAAGAGGTCAAGATTAGCTAATCGTGTTTCGTAGGGTAGTGACAACTGCCAAGATACAAGTTTCGTTGCTCGCCGTTGAACTCTTTCGAGTATGCCCAAGTCTTTAGCGGTCCAGGGTCGCCATGCTTGATAGCAAACTCCAGATGCGGTCGCACGAAAGTTTGAAAGACCTTGGCGAAGCAGTCTTCATCTAAGGAAAAGAACGCCCGTTTGACAAGGTATAGCATGGACATCGCCGACTTGACCAACTTTGATCATTGCAGCGAAGGCTTAAGCGAGGTTGTGATCCATACACCCAACTC